TTTTTCATTTTAACATCCATTATAGGCTGCTATAACAACCTATTAATCTGACACTATGATGACCTTGGAAATAACATACTTTTTAAAAATATCCTAAAGTTTTATGACTTAAAGTTCACATTGTCTTCCTTTCTTGATAAATCAAAAGCAAATTTTCATTTAAAACATGGAATCAGTTTATCAAGTATACACTTCACAAGTTTTTAAATCTGTTTCATTCCTGGTTAGACAAACTCAAATACAATGATCAAACTAAAAGATATCTTAAAAGTATAAGATGATGACATAATTGTCTGCTAATAATGTCTGAAGGTCTGATACAAGATTATCCACTAAGCAAAATGGGAGGAACAAAAAACTGTTACATTCCTTTCTTCTAATTTTTAAGCCTAAAAAACATTTTGTAAACATGGTTTCATTGTTCTGACATCATAGGTGTGGCAGTTCTCTGTCTGAAGAATATCTGTAAAATTTATATTTTTGATTTTAGCATAATTTCTGAAACAAACAGTAACAACTATTTACCAGTTGTTACTAGATATTGGACTTTGCCTGTTAGGGTAAATACTTTTTTGACCTCAGGCAGGAAGAGTGTACTTTTTACCAATGACTTGCTGATTTTGCAATTAATAAAGAAAAATAGAATCCACTGAAAATAAAATTTCTATTTAAAAGTGTAATTGACTAATGGTGAGGTCTCCCCCAGCTATTACTAGTATTTCAATGTTTAAGCAATTATTTTATTTATACTAAATAGTCTCAACAATTGCCTATCTTACACAGGCAGGCAGAAACTGAAGAGGTTGTATCAACTGGCAGTTTGCACTGAAAGAAAACAATCTTAAATCACTTTTAATCTTGCAGAGTATTTTTGAAGGTCAAGGTTGAAATCACTGGCAGCAAAGTAGGTGAACAAAATGGTTTGGCCCTGCCTGAACTAAACTTGCACTGATTTGTAGAGTTGGAGTGGAAGAGAGCTAAAATAGTAGCGCTTTCCTTAAAACACACCCACACCTCACCAACAGCACACCAACAGCAACAGCAGTATAACTGTAGACATACATCACTGTGCCAGATCAGGGCATAATTCTCTTAAGGAGCTGAGGGCAAGATGTGAAAACAAGGCAAGGTCTAGCCTTTGCATTAGTTCTTGACTCATTCAAGCATCCAAAGGTCCTCTCGTTGATACTGATGACATAGGGGCAAGACTAGGCATAATTCCTCAATATAATCAATGGTGCCTCCCCCTACTCTTAGAAAGCCAGCTCTGGGGTGCTAGGTCTTGCCCCACACAAAGAAAGACATGCTCCCCTGGGTGGGCAAAGTGGATCATGGTATTCTGGTCTTCTGCTATTTTAAGTTCTTCCTTCTCTAAATTTGTGAATAATATTTTAAGCATAGTGTATTTGGTTTTTTTCCAGAAGTTTCCTTCTAGAAAAGCATATCTTTGCATAATTGTAGGAAAAATAAACTTGACTAACTTGGTCCCAAGCACATTATTGAGTAACTGGGAATTAATTTCCTAGTAGTCATCCGTCAGAAGGGCTGATCCACCCTGAGGCACATTAACTGGCATGACTTCTAGGACAGCGGGGCTGTGGGAGCCACTGGACACATCTGCCCCCAACCCCTAGCCTCTTGAATTACTCAAATCTCTCAGTTCTGTAGGCACAATATGTGCTGGATGAGAGAGGAACTATTTTCTCCATGGATGGACTTTTTTTTTTTTGGCTTGAATTCTTATAAGGTCTGACTTCTGGACTAAGAAGACATCTTTGTGTCCCGTCTTCAAAATGCCTCCTCCACTTATCTCAGGAGCCTAAAATTCCTTTAGTGGGGGCAGAAAGCCTATTATTTAAAAAAAATAGTGGGAGGGGGAGGAGGAGTACAATCAATCAGGGGAAGCGGATTGAAATCTAGTAAATCCAGGACTCCACAGGGAGGATGTACAGAACTCTGTCTCCCCAGGAGCCCCTGACCCCGACGGCATGTTGAGTTCTGTCCCTCGGGCTGCTTTAGCAGCACACACTTCCCTGTGGGCCTTACTACCATTGCCTCATTAGGGTCCAGTCTGTATGACTGTCTTCCACACAGCAAGTTAATGAAGGGTGAGATGGGCTGGGACTGTTTTTCTGTTTCAGTCTCTAAGCTTAAAATCAAATGAAGTACTCCAGCCATAGTAGGCACTCAGAATATGAATAATGAATGAAGAAATGTGTATCTCGGACCTTGAAACAGAAAAAATAATAAGAACGGTAAATTCAAATCTGAAATAATCTTCACTTTCTTTTTTTCTGGAAGTGCCTCTTCCCAAATCCTCAGCTCTTCATTTTGTTTTATTATGTATGTTTCATGGAGGTAGAGGGTTATTAGTACTGAGACTGAGATTTAAATAGAGAGATACACTAATGTTCTGTGTATTCACTTTCAAACAGAGTAAGTGTGAACTGGAGTTTTTTTGTTTTTTGTTTTTTTAACTGGAGCTGTTCTAAGGCAAGGTTACACAAGGCAAGAGTATAATTGTTAAGTTAACATTGACCAACTTTTGGTTTTAACAATCAACAGCCATTGAACTCTTCATTTGTCCAAAACCTAAGTTTGTCCTATCCTGAACCATGGTAACTGGTTGACTGACTGGGAGGTGAGGTGGGGTCAGAATGGTAGCACTACTTTAAAGACACTGGGATTACAGTAGATGTCCTTTTTTTTTTTTTAATTTTGGCATTGTGTACCAAAATTCCAACATTGAAATTATTTTCACAACTGCAAGTAACTACCCAATATTATGCTTTTAGAGACTGAATCTAGAGCCTTAAAGGTGTATGAGTAGTGAATTATATTTGTATTTAATTTTCTGCTTTGGTCCCATTGGTATTTAGTGATAGCAAAACAAGCTCTAAAATCACAGCCTAAGATTGGAGTATTAAAGTGCCTCATGGTTAGATTTCATATATATCCAGGAAATGTTGTGTGCTCTCAAAGTCTGAGACAAAATCGAAGCAAACCAGATGTTTAATACAGAAAAATCTATATATTAAGTAAGACTTTATAAAGTTGAATTATCTGTTGTATTTAGTTCACCCCTGGATTGCTGAAAATATTCAGTTTCAAGTTGTTTGAAATTGAAACAATTGAAATTGAAAGAAATTCAGATGTGATAATTTATAGGTCACAAAGTAAGATTATCCCTTTAATCCAAGTACTTACATCTAGTCAAATTGCCTTATTAAAACTGTCGTGTTAGAACATGTGACTTAAACAAAAAGAAAAAATAAATACATCTTTTAAACTCAAAACATAATTTTTTCCAAAACAATATCAGTAATTAAAACTAAAAGACTATCTCAAATATTCACTACGTTCATACCTGAACAGGGCATACAATTCATCTGTGGTAAACTAAGACCTTCACTGTGCATCACTGGGCAGGTGAGCTTCACCATGCCTCTGCTGTCTGGTTGTCATGGAGAGCTCCTCTCCACTGTTGCCACTGCAGCAGTGTGTCCAGGGAGCTGCATGGTGGTGGATCAGCAGTCACACTGAAACTGAGTTATTCTAGTCAGAAACAAACAAAAAACCTTACTCATCAGGATTGTGAGGAAAGACTTAGAATAGCCCCAGTCAGTCTAGATGAGCTGACTCTCACTCTCTTCTGGCTTTGGTTTCCCACTAGCCCCCTCTTTCCTACAACTGCTGTCTGGGCACCTTCACATGATTTCCCTCCCAGACACTTACCATCTTTGGTACCCATTTATGGCATGTGCCAGTGGCATGTAGAAGAAGCATAAGATTTATGCAAATTGAGATGGTTTTAAATATTTTTATTACTTATTAGAAAATAGATCATGACTCTTCATCACACCCACTGGACTTTTTTTTTTTTAAATTATCAATTGACACTCCTGTGAGTATCTATCACCTAGTCTAAGATTGGTCCCTACCCGATACTAGAAACTGTCCCCAGAAACCTGACTCTGGGGAATGCTGCCTCCCACATGGCTGGCACTGCCATGACAGAAGCACTTCATTCTACTGAAGCAAAAATGGCCAATGTTTAATTACTCTATTTCCTTACAGACCTAATATTTACATTCAGGTGAACTGTGTTTAATATGTAAACTCAACAGCAAGAGTAAAATGTGGTCTGGGCAGGAAAAGCAAAATTTTAAAAAATGGTTTCAGAAGCATGACTAATTTTGTCTTTTGTGTGTGGCTCTGCCTGCTTTGCAGGGAAGACTTCCTGTCCCCAAGGAAGTGAACCGGAAGAAGGATGATGAGACAAACGCTGCCTCCCTGCCTCCACTGGGCAGCAATGAACTCCGCTCCCCAAGAATCAGTTACCTCCACTTTTTTTAATCGTAACACCTCCATTTGTATTACATATGGTGTATGGGTATTGATGAGGTCATGGTATCATATATGGGATTTTTTTCTGTGTAAATCATCAAGTATAAGAAGAAACTATGGGACTCTGAGCCTTGCTTTAGAGAATTTACAGTGGACAAATAGGTATCATCAAACCAGTTTTTAATCATTCTGACTCAAGTGAAAACGCTCAGAATTTCACACTGTGAATCCACGTTTACAACCCTTACAGGTGGGCCTTCAGGCCTGGTTCGCTACAACAATGTCTTCCACAACTCAAACTCCCACCGCGCTCACACAACCGGTCCACTCCTGCCTTTTCACTCACTCACACAGCTCCCGACTGCTTCTTGCAGAGGCTGAGAGTCCCCCCCTTTTTTTTTCATTTAGATGTAACAAACCTAGTAGTTTATGTTCATCAATTGTCTGTATATCTCTATATTTTATCCATGTACTCTTTTGATGTATAGAAGTAGTTTGAAACTCATTGTTTCCTTGTGGTAAGTGACCGAGATGCTGCCACAGGACCTGAGACACTGATGAATGGTGCTATTTTGGACTTTCAACATGCTCCTTGGCGAGGTAGCTCTGATGGAGTTATTTTTTATTTCCATGTTCTAAGAAGGTGTTGGTACTCTGTTTCCCTGAATGTTGTTCTCTAGACTGGATTGACTTGTTTTCCTTGTGTCTTCAGTGTGGCTTTCTCCCTCAGTGTTGTAGGTTGAGTAAATGCTACCAGAGTGTGAGAGACGATGTCTCGTTGGCTGGCACTTACAGACATGCAGTCACGGTAGCGGGAGCAATCACAAAACTGTAATTTACTTACCAAATCTCTTCCTTTCCGTAGCCTCGCCTGCCTGACTTAGAGAAAGAAAAGCAATAATTTTACAGGCATTTTGAGGTGTCTCTTTGGGTTCTTTGTTTGAAAGGACATTTGGGGAAACAAAGAGCAAAACCTTTTTAAGTAAATTCCCCTGAAAAAATCCAAAACACTGGCATCTGAGTAGGAATATGAAAATGACATCCTCTCCAAATACTAAATTGGAAAACAATGTCTTTCCAAAATAATTGTACTTTTTTGAAAGGCAGAGCACTCCTTTTTTGGCAATTTTGATAAGCAAGGTGTAGATTTACATTTTTGTTCTTGCTCCCAATGAAATGGATAAACAAAAATAAAATACCATCTACTCATGGAATGTTGTTGTGTTAGCCAGTCTGAAAGCCCACCTTAATTTTTATATAACTGTCTTTTAGCTCTTCTTTTGACAGGGCAGGCCTTGTTCTGAACTGTTCCGCTTCTGACTGTTAAACACCGATGACGCATGCGCTGCACTTCTTCGTTTTCTTCTTGCTCCCCCATTGGCCTGAGTTTCTTGTGCATTCCTCCTCTCCCTCCTTCATTAGGTATATCAGCTGTGTAAATAGAGCAAGAAAACAGTATTCTGCATCTGTGGCATTTATGTAGAGTTGCAGTTGTGTACTGCTGAAAATGCAGGCTTTTGTAACAATGTGATCTTTACTGATGCACTCATGACAAGTACCCAATGTATTTTAGCTATTTTAGTAGTATTTGTTCAATAAATATGCAAGCTGTAAGGTAACTGTCTGATTTGGCTCATCATTGAAGAGGACTATTTTTGAATGCCTTCTCTGGTTCTTGCTAATTCATGTGTTCCCAGAGCCCCAGAAGTCAGGCCAGCAAACCCAAGGGCAAATATCAAAAGAGAGAATCAGCTCTGCCATTCATGCGTTTTCCCTTTTGAGGATTTTATGAGATTAGGGGCTAGGCAGTGGCTCATTAAGATGATATTTGCAGAGCTGCCTCTGGACACAAAGGAGAATTAGACCAAGATCCTTTTATTTCTACACGTTTTCTCCCTTCCAAGGCATTCCCATACACTTCAAAACTTATTCTCACTCCTTGCCATTAAGACCCACTCTGCGGTATTCTTTATCCCTGCCAAAAGAGATCTGACCTCACTTCTTCATGGAATATTTGCACTTTTACTCAGACAAAAAGCTTAAACTTGTAAGAGGATAAAAATTTGAGACAGAATTTAAAGTCATTAAGGCTTAGTTCTTGTGTACCCAGATACCTGGAACCTACAAGATGACAAAGTGATGATTATCAGAGCCTTCTAGAGGTCTCATGTGACCCTGAAACCTGGCAATTCAGGGGATTTATGCACTCCCTGTGCATGAGAAATGTCTTCTGGTCTCTCCTTGTCCATTATGGAAGTGAAACTTTAACTTGGCTTGTATTAAAGTTGCTTACTTGGCTGGTTGCGTTCAGATACTGCAGTTTCACCTCAACAGAGACTAAGGAACAGACCTCTAAGATTAAAGCCAGAGAGAGAAAAGAGGAGCTAAAGGTAACATTGCCCCTGCAATGGGAGCTCAGCCTCTGGAGAGTGAGCATCAGATGCTCTCTGAGAAATCTTGGGTCTTGATATGTGTGTTATGGCAGGAAGAACTTTTAAATTGGGGGGTTACTGAGCTGAATTTGAAATTAATGCACCTCTCAGGTTTTGGTTAAGTTTCCTATTTACCCTAAACTTTTAATCTCATTAAGAGAAAGGAACCTTGGGGCAGATCTAAATTCTAACTGTTTACCAGATCATTAAAATTTGTTCAACCTGAAGGAAAATTCTTAAAAATGACATACCACCACCTTTTTGGCTATTAACCGCTGGCTATAATAAGTCTTCCTTAAATTTAATTACCTTTCTTTAAAAAAAATTATTTTAAAAAAAAGCCATCATCTGAAGACTTACCTGGGGCTAGACAATCTGCTCCCAATATAGTTTTGTCCACGGCTGTGTGCAGGATGCCTCAGTTCTTCTACTCATGAGCGTCTCTCCAGTGCTGCTTGAGTGTCCCCATAACTTTTGGCTTCCTCAAGAGCAAGTAATTAAAAAGAGCTGGGAACAAGCCAAAAGCTATGACTTCTTCTCAGAAGTCACCATCATCTATCATATTCTATTCATTAGAAGCAAGTCACTAAGTATAGCCCATACTCAAGGATAAAGGAAATTAGTTTCTACCTCCTGAGAGGAGGAATACCACAGAATTTATGGACATATTTTAAAATTAGCACATGATCTGAAGTTAAAGAGCTCAGGGTAATTATAGGTCAGGGTTTGGAAGAAAGGCTGAAACTAGCATCACAGCTACTTCTTTCTATGGAAATGTTTTTACAGTCTTTGGAAGCGGCATATGAGGAGAGCATCCAGGAACTGGGATTTCATAGCCTCCATTTATTAATCCAAGTTCTGTTAGCCCCAATACTAATATTTAGAGAATGTTATGAGAAGCTGTAAAAACAGGGGAGCTGGAAGAAATGATGTTTAAAGTTCCATCCAACTCTATGGATTGTGGAGTGCGCTGATGACAATTCCTCAGCCTCCATAAAGGTTGAAGTAGTAACTGACTCTGCACTTTAAGCTTGAAAGACTCGTGTGAGGATCCAGCAATGTCTTGTGAAGCATTAATAACTACTGAGACAGAGCTAAGAACTGGAGAAATAGCTGGGCTCACCTCGGAAGACCCAAACTTTGATTTAAGACTGATTTGTTCTCTCACCACAGGCAAACATAACACCATGTTGCCTTTGGGAGGAGACTGCTAACAACCATTGAGCAGACTTAACCTGGAGACTTGTTTTTCAATGTGTTGTATAAAAATGTTTACTTAATTGCTGACATTTACAAATCAAGAGATTTCATGTGAATATCTAGATAGAAAAGTGGAAAATATAGCAACAGTGGGGTTGGAGCTGAACAGCTGCCTCCACCTGTGGATGAAGCATGTCCTCTTTTATCAAACTCTCATCACCTCTTTTCTTACATCCTGTCTTCTTCATTCATTTATATCATCTGCTTGCCTTTGTTGGTATGGCAGTTAGCAACACTAATCATCTGGTTTGGGAAGGATGGTGCTGCCCTTACTTTCACTAAAAAAGGGCCAGGAGACCTTTTGCACTCACTGATAGCAGGAACATGCAGGATGAACACCAGATTGGAATTGGAGGTCCCTCAATGCCACCCAGAACTTCTCTGCAGCAATTCCAACTCAACCTCTCTGGGCCCTCTTTAGAATCCTTTGGTTATCCTCCTCCAGGGATTGAAATCCCATGATAAACAATCTTGGATTGGGTCAGGTTAAGCTGTATACAGGTATGACTGATTCATGATTTTCAAACTGAGGTATGCATACCTAAAGATATGTGATGACTTCACAGATTGCATGCTCAAGGACAGTATTCAGGAATTTAATTTTCAGATCCTCTATAAACACTATACTCTTTCCTTAAATTGATCTGCTGAGAATGAGTTTCTTTTCCCACATAAAAAATGATATAGGACTGGATTTGGTGGCTCACGCCTGCAATCTCAGCATTTTGGGATGCCAAAGGGGGAGGTATTTGGGGGGCAGGTGGATCAACTGAGGTCAGGAGTTCAAGACCAGTCTGACCAACATGGTTGAACCCTGTGTCTACTAAAAATACAAAAATTAGCCAGGTGTGGTGGCACACATCTTTAATCCCAGCTACTCAGGAGGCTAAAGCAGGAGAATCACCTGACTCTGGGAGGCAGAGGTTACAGTGAGCCAAGATGGCACCATTGTACTCCTCCCTGGGCAACAAGAGCAAAACTCCATCTTGAAAAAAAAGGAAATAAAAAAAGATACAGGGCTACCTATCCCAAATCTTAATATGACACATTGCTCTTAATATGACACCAAAAACCTCAGATACAGCCAACGAGGGAAAGGTTTGATGATTAATCATAAATCCATAGAGCCCCGGGCTTTCACCTTTTATACACATGTTAAAGCTGATTATGTTAGATAATGCAGAAATTGGGTGTTTGGACTCACAAATAGATTTTCAGAATTCAGATATAAAATAAAGTGGAGTGATGATAATAATGACAATATTGATTTAACGCCTTATTTTCTTTTCCTGACTTGTCAAAGTACTTGCCGTTAAGGGAGAGCCACGAGAAAGTGAAACAAAGAAACTCAGTAGATGGCAGTGAATGCCAAAAATGTCTTCTGCATATAATTGTTAGCAATTATTTCCCATTATTGTCAATATCCTTCCCTAGGATGTATCTTGACTAAGAAGAAAAGTAACTTGGAAGAGCTAAAGCAGTATAGATTTGCCATGCTCATTATTTTAAATGTAACCAGAATGCCTTCTGGCAATGCCAAATTTTTACAAGATGCAATAACCCAAGGATAAAAAGCTTTCACATGGCTTCTTTCAGATTTTATGTGCATTCATTGATAAAGTTGACAGAACCCACTGTATCAAACCATAACATGAAACATTTATTCAAGTATATTCAATTCTTGTCTTAGTCTGTTTTCTGTTGCTGTAACAAAACACCAGACTAGATAATTTATTTTTAAAAAGCAGCATTCAGCTCATGGTTCTGGAGACTGGGAAATCCAAGAGCCTGGTGTTGGAATTTGCTCAGAAACTGCTGAGGGCTTTCTTGTTGTCTCAAATTGTGATAGAAAGGAGAAGAGGCAAAACGTGGATTTCAACTCAGGTCTCTCCTCTTGTTAGAAAGCCATGGACTATCATGGGTCTACCCCATCAACTTCATGAATTTATGGATTAAGTTTCAACACATGAAATTTGGGGAATACATTCAGACCATAGTTGTTTCTACCATTTTATCTTATAAAATATTTGTTGTTTAACCATTCACCAAAGCCAGTCAGCAATATTCAACACCTGCACATAATTTTACTAGAGATATGCCATGCCTTTTATCATTTTCCTGCCTTATATGAGAAATAGTGTATTGATCATCTTGTTTTTATAACTTAAACATGGAACAATTAGTTATATTAGATCTTTATTATTTTAATTGTTTTTAGTGATCAGTTTCACAAGATACACTTTTAGTTCTCATTGATTTTTATAATATTCCTCAAAATAGCTATTTAAATTCAAAAAGGAAAAACTTTTTCTAACAGAAATTGCATCTGATCTGGCTGACTGGTTTGACAGTAAAGACTGGCCCTGCTAATGAGATTTTATGACAGATATTTTTCATAAATGAGTTAAATCTGCAACTCCAAATTAGTGGCAGTACATTTAAAATAATAAATGAGATCAACACGTTTTAGCAAAAAGCAATGTTTTGGCAAATGTGTAATAAAACTAAAAATTTGTTTATTTTTCCTGCCATTTCTGGTGATACGGGTTTTAAAAGGTGGGCCTAAGTATAGGTGTTACAGCATAATTAAAAATAATTTGATAAATCTTAGTAAAGCTCTCTTTGTGTACTTCCCAGAAATTAAGAAAGTAAATTTATTCACGTTGCTGGAGAAGAAATCTTTTTGCCAGTCAGGTGCTTTCTAATTCACTGTTTAAAAGAAATGAAGGACTTTATCAAATAGTCATGTGACCAAAGATTAAAAATGCTTTTGCTAATAGACCATTAGGTAAATGTTGGCATATAACATAGAATGAATTCAAAGAACTGAATTACATTGTTATAATAAAACACTTTCAATTCCTTCAACTTACATCTATAAAAATGAAAAATAGAAATAGGATTGATACTGACCCTTATTTCAGCAATAAGTAATGTTCATCTACAGATAAATGAAGTAATTGAAAAAAAGTTTATCATCTCATCAAAGGATGCATTTGAAATATAATTTTACTTTTTGTATTTACTAATATGTTTATATTGTATCAGTAGTATATTGGTAATAATTCAATTGCATAGATTTTTTAATGTTTAGAGCTTTATGGTCACAGGAAATAAAAGTAAAAAATTGAATTTAGCTATGTTAAAATTGCAGGTAACTGTGACATGGTAAGCAGTATTTTCAAACAAAATTATGTTACCTTAAGGTAAAGTTCTTTGGAGGAAGTTGAATAAAAACTTAAGTTTGAGTAGAAAAAGAAAGTCAAATTTCTAAAAGTTACAGAAGTATTTGATTTTAAAAATGGAATGATGGTTATCCATTATCATGGTGTTTAGATTCAACTGTATACATTATAGGAGAAATTCAACTTTCATTTTAACACGAAAACATTTATAATATGCCCCGAATTACATCCTTTAAAGTGTCTAAATTTATGGTGAAAAACATCACTATTCCTAAAAATTACATGACAGTACACACTTCATTACAATGCTTTTAGGGGATACAGAAGCAAAAGAATTTGAAAACCTCTGAGCTAGACAAGAAACCCAGGTGCTATGTTTTGAGGCAGTCACTCTTGGTCAGAAATACTTCCCATCTGGTCTCAATGCCTGAAAATTTCTCACGTTAATTCCTCCGGGTCTTGGAAAAGCACCAGTGAATTCTGATGGGAAAGGAAAAGAAAGGTCCAGACTGTCATTGGTCAAGCAGGACAAGCTGGATGGCTTGGAGGCACTGACCACACACAGGGGAGTGATGAAAGAGGGTCCCAGAGAAGATGTCTTCCTGGGCTGCAAGTTCAATGAGTCTATAAAAGATCGGCAACTCCTCTTAGAGCCTTTACATCATTCCTCCTTGACAAAGTCAAATCTTTTCAGTGCTATTTTTTTATTTCTCTAGATTCTTCATCATATCTTTATCCAGCATATTCAAAAGAGCTGCGTCAATGACTCCTCCCATAGGAGAAGGGGGCCCAAGTTAGTGAGAGAAGTGGGATTACACCTCAGGTCGCAACCCCATAGTACTTGAGATCCCAGTACTCCTAAGAAAAGCCTGTACAGCAGCAAGCAGCTCACAAAATCAGAGCAGAAAAAGAGGGTCATCTTTTCTTTTATTACATGTCTCCATTAGGCTTACTTCTGAGCATAACTCATAGAAGGAATATGAAATTAATCTATTCCCTTGCACAGTAAACTGTGCCATTAATGGATGGCTTAGCTATAACCAAGATATCCACGTGGCTATG